GGGGGCCCCACGCTTCGGGGGGCCCCACGCTTCGACGTCACGCTGTCAGATGTAATACTTCTGGTTTGGTATAAAGGAATCTGATGGGGGGCCCATAGAGTGGGATTTGTCCCGGGCCCCGCACCACCACCCCCGTAGACGGCCCTGCCGCCAGATGCTCGCGCCTCGCCCGTCTGCGGTCCATCTCGTCGTGAGCGAGCGAACGAATGCGGGCGAGCAGTAGTCACTCGGGCGAGCAGACACTCACCTGCCGCTCCTCACTGTCACGCTCCCGCGCCTCCTCCTTCTTGCGCTGCTCGTCTCGCGCCGCCTCCATTCGCCGGCGTTCCTCCCTATCTGCCTCCTCCGCCTGACGGAGACACGCACGAACATGTATGCACACACGTGCACACATGCCTGCGCACATGCATACACAAAGACAACCACTCCCCCGCGTGGTAGCCGCTACACTACCATTCCCCACACACATGTATACAAGTACATGGACACACACACGTGTACACGCCCATGTGCACGCATATAGAAGTGAGACAGGAGGGGAGAGGTGGGAGGGCACAGCGAGGGTGGTAAAGTGAGATGAGAGGGAAGCAGGGGGAGATGAGAGGGAGAGGGGAGTAGAGGCAGATGAGAGGGGAGTAGAGGGAGGTGAGAGGAGAGTAGGGGGAGAGGGGAGTAGAGGGAGGGGAGAGGAGAGTACAGTGAGATGAGAGGGGAGTAGAGGCAGATGAGAGGGGAGTAGAGGGAGGGGAGACGAGAGGGGAGTAGAGGGAGGTGAGAGGGAGGTGAGAGGGAGGTGAGAGGGAGGAGGGTTCACCTCTCTCTGCGACTTCTTCTCCTGCTTCATCTGCAGCTTACGCTGCTTCTTGGCTCCGATCTTCCCCCCGCCCACCTCCTCTTCCTCCGAGTCACCGGAGTCGCCCTCCCACTCGGCACCTGCGCACGACGCCCGTAAAGAGTTGCCGGGCACAGGCCCAAAACGTCACGGAGCCAGCAACAATCGGCACCATTGACGTTGTTATAAACAAGAGTGGAATTGAGCAAGGTTATTTATTATTAGAGCTTCGGGTAAAGAGCCGATGGGAGGGAATTTCGAAGTGGAGCAGTGCGAGGGGAGACGCAGGGAGAGGAGTGAGGTGGCCTGCAGTGATGTGAGTGGCTGACTGAAAGGATGCGTGAGCGAGTCAGTGAATGGGTGAGAGTGGTGTCTGAACGAGAGAGGGTGAGCGGGTGGATGAATGGATACGTGGGCGAGTGAGAGTTTGACTGAGTGGGTGAGTGAGTGAGCGAGTGGATTGTTGTGACCTAAAATACGGTGGTCGGGTGGGCGAGAGAGTGGGTGATTGATCGAGTGGGCGATTGATCGAGTGGGCGGGTGGGCGAGTGAGTTGTTATGATCCGCAGTGTAGAGGTGGAGGAACACAAGTGTGGATGAGACGAAACAGTCGAGTCTTGTCGACCGAGTCCCTTCACATGTGGTGGCGGAATCAATGATGAAGGCGCGAGCGGGCGGCAGCGCTCACCGCCCTCCTCATCCCTGCGCATCATCATCAGCTGCTGCTGCTGCTGCTGCGCCAGTCTCTGAGCGTCGCGCCGGTGCCGAAGGTTGCGGACTCGACGCGGCTCCCCCGGCGCCCGCTCTTCGTTGGCCGCGGCGCGGGGCCTGGTGGCGGCCGCCAGCGGCGGCGCTTGTGCCGCATCGTCAAGCTCTGCGGCGCCACGGGGGGGGGGGGGGGGGTCGGTGGTCAGCGGATTAATACAGAATCACCAAGAGAGGAGGGCGGCTGACTCTCTCCTGTCTAGGAAAAAAAACCCCATCATCATAACAGCACGATAGCGCAGGCTATAACACGTAATTGTCAAATAAGACAGAGAAAGGTGTAAATAAAAACACGGCCATTTGTGCATTCTGCAAACAAACATCAGCATTTCATGAACAAATGCATTGTGGTCATCTTGTCTGAAATCGCCATCGAAATAAACGTCACAGAATGTGGCTGACAGCAGCAATGACGCTCCGACAGACCCCCCCTGCCGACCGGTTTCGTCCTTAAAATGACTCGTCAGCACGGCCGAGTGACCAATGCTCACTGCCGTGAAGTCTGCCTACGGGAACCATCTCTCTGTGGAGTCCCCATCCCACACTACTGCGTCCATTGCATTGGCCAATGCCACAAACTCTCGCATCTCTAAACCGCGGACGTGGCAGGCCACGGCCGCGGCCACTGACGCGCGTCAACACGTGGCATCCTGAGGCCCATCAGGGCCCCCCTTGTGCGTGCCCAGCTACTGACGGTGCCCTGCAACCAAGTCCAGAGTCCCCACACTGCGCTCACTTCGGCTGCTCGAAGCGGACTGCGACCCTCCGTGCTGCGTGCATCAAACACATCGCGCGAGACGGCGCGACGCGTGGATACCCACAGATCCCCATGAACCCCTCGGGCCCACGTGATATTGATCGCCAATGGTCCCCCTGTGTGCCACCCCGTGGGTCGCGATGTCACCGAGTGTCCATATCGAACCCTCAGCGAACCCAGTGGATCACTGCGGTCCCTATGGGGTTCTCAAGGCCCCGTGGGTCCCTGCGGGTCCCTTACGAACCCTACGGGTCCCTGTGTCTCTCTGGGGGTCCCTGTGTCTCTCTGGGGGTCCCCGTGTCTCTCTGGGGGTCCCCGTGTGTCTCTGGGGGTCCCCGTGTCTCTCTGGGGTCCCCGTGTGTCTCTGGGGGTCCTTGTGTCTCTCTGGGGGTCCCTGTGTCTCTCTGGGGGTCCCCGTGTCTCTCTGGGGGTCCCCGTGTCTCTCTGGGGGTCCCCGTGTTTCTCTGGGGGTCCCCGTGTCTCTCTGGGGGTCCCCGTGTCTCTCTGGGGGTCCCCGTGTCTCTCTGGGGGTCCCCGTGTCTCTCTGGGGGTCCGTGTCTCTCTGGTGGTCCCTGTGTCTCTCTGGTGGTCCCTGTGTCTCTCTGGGGGTCCCCGTGTCTCTCTGGGGGTCCCTGTGTCTCTCTGGGGGTCCCTGTGTCTCTCTGGGGGTCCCCGTGTCTCTCTGGTGGTCCCTGTGTCTCTCTGGGGGTCCCTGTGTCTCTCTGGGGGTCCCCGTGTCTCTCTGGGGGTCCCCGTGTCTCTCTGGGGGTCCCTGTGTCTCTCTAGGGGTCCCTGTGTCTCTCTGGTGGTCCCCGTGTGTCTCTGGTGGTCCCCGTGTCTCTCTGGGGGTCCCCGTGTCTCTCTGGGGGTCCCTGTGTCTCTCTGGGGGTCCCTGTGTCTCTCTGGGGGTCCCTGTGTCTCTCTGGGGGTCCCCGTGTTTCTCTGGGGGTCCCTGTGTCTCTCTGGGGTCCCTGTGTCTATCTGGGGGTCCCCGTGTCTCTCTGGGGGTCCCCGCTAAGTCCCGTAGGTCCCCTGTTACTGTACAGTACTGTAACATCCCACATTGAACTCGGCGGTTCACTGCGGCTACTCCCGAGTCTCTGCAGGGCAGGGCCCCTGTGCACACCCGCGATGACCCCGGCGTGATGACCCCGTGGTGCCCTCACCGGGCCCTCGGGCACGCCGCTGCCACCGCAGCAGCAGCAGGAGCAGCAGCAGCAACGAGGCGACGGGCAGCGCCACCCACAGCGACAGCGCCTCCATGTCGAGCCCCGCGCCAGTCACGTGGCCCCGGCTCTGACGGCGCATCCGGCGGAAGCGGAAGTGGCGACGCGCTAATGAGCGTCATGAACGTGCGGGGAACACGTGGGATTGTTTACCGCATCACACGGGTCGCGTGTGCGCGCGCCCGCGTGATACTCGGGGTCTATTAAAGCACCTTGGCTGTGTCGGATGGTGGCGGGCTTAGCGACGCATTTATCTATTCACGCGGTCTAACACACACAGGAACCTGACCTGTGTTATGGGCGAGATTGGTCGCGAAAGTCGGCGTGTCCAACGTGAAGCACTTTGTGATAATTATCGCACGAGATGAAGGCGCAGCCCTGCAATGCCACTGCTCCACCGCCAGAGGGCGCTCTGTGGAGGGCGGGCGGGCGGGGGTCACCCCCCACCCACCTGACCCCCACCCCCGCCGCTCCTGACAGAGGTTCGCGGTTCGAACTGTCCAGTCCGCCCTGGTCACTGCTGCTGCGTGGTTTTGATCAACACGTACTGCGCGCCGTCTCCTGCACGGTCCACGGTCAAGACCCCGCGACGTCGTTCGGAACGCGCAGGGGGTCGTGTGCCCGCGTCACGGTCCAAATTCGACAACCCCCCCCCCCGCCCCAGACAAAAATACCCGCAGATGACTTCAGTTGGCGTCACACGAAGCAACGTCGCCCCCTGCCGGGTGCCTACGACGCGTCTGTGAAGCACAGCGCCTGCTGGTCCTGCGACGCCGGCTGCGGAGTTGGTCTCAGCGAGACCAGCCTGAACAAGCAGCTGGAATCCTACTTCTCGCGAGAGAACCTGGCCTAAACGACCTGTACCCGGTGTCCCAGATGGACAGCGACCAGTATGTCTCCATCTGGACCATTGCCAACTTTAACCAAGTCAAGCGGCTCACCTCCTGCAACTCATCGTAGACACACTCAAGTCATTCTCAGCGAGACCAATTCCGTTACCACCGAGCGGGTCTCAGGGAGTCTCGGCGACGCTGCGACCAGCGGCTCCCGCCGGCGACTTCGATACCGACACGGTGGCGTGACCGCCGCGTCCCCCAGCACAGCAAAGGCGCCCGCGCGGTTGGCACCCGACTGTGCTTTAGCGGACAGCTGGTCGCGATGATGGGCACGTGGCCGCATGGATGTCTGTGGCGTTAAGCCGGGGACAGGGGGACCGAGGGTCCCGGGTGGTCATTGACCCGTCGTGGGAGCGTCATCCTCGCGGTGCTGACCGCTCGCTCTCCACGGGAGCCGGAGCCTCAGCGATGCCGTGACAGCTGCCTGACGAGTGGTACCATTCCAAGTCGACACATTCCACGTCGCCATTCGGAGAGTGGCCCTCACATCTTGGCCTGTGTAGCGGCATCATCGCGGTGATGGCCCTCCCCAGGGTCAGGGTTCGGGCCATACCCCGCCACGTGCCGAGCCACGCCGTCTGTCCGAACCTCCGGGATCGGGAGGCCGAACTGACCCGGCATGGTCAGGGGCTGACACGCTGCTACTGCTGCTATGGAGACACTCATACTCGGTATCTGCTTGAGTAATACCATTTACAAAGTTATTACGAACGGGTTTTGCCCGTGACGATGTCTGGTTCTTGGAGGTTGCTCCCTCGCGCGTGAAGGTTCAGGCCGGCCGGATGAAGACGCGAGGCGATGGTGTTTGCGCGTCGCTCTGAGACTCCCGTGATCGTAACAAAGCATTCACCCCCCCCGCCGAGTCGAGTTGACTCAGGGAACAAAGCGCGTGACGATGAGAGACGTCATGATGTTAAGCGGTGCCTGACATCGCTTTCCACGTGCGTGTGTGTTTACTCACACATTAGCCCATCGTAACAGGATTATAGTGCAGGCCTGCAATATTATGTTATGATGGGTGCTGTGTGTGTTGAACTTCTTTCGCACCGTACGTAGCCAACCATGCTAATCGTCGGTGATGGGAAAGGACAACAAATTGAACACAAAAATGAGTTGTAAAGAATTTAGTTATAAATCTAGATGATTTAAAAGTGCATAGCTTCAGTGGCTTCTTAATACCGGAAGGGAGAGCGTTCCAGACGGCCGCAGAAGCTCGTCTGAAAGCGCATCCTTGCAGTGAGCGTGTTTGTTGGGTAATGCTGTGATGATGGCTTCTTCTCATCTACAGATTTGATTCTTGTTGGCATTGGCCAAGATAGAGGGCCCCCACAGTGTGGATGTGGGGACTTAACTCCCACACCCACGATGAGCCCCATCGACTCGCCTCCACACGCTCCGTGTCATCATCATCATCATCAACAGCCCGTGCCAGTATCAAAAACATCAATACAATCATCGTCATCATCGACACATCAATCCATCACCATCACCAGCATGCCAATACAGGATCATAATCAGCATACTCCGTGATCGTCAACATCATCTTCATCATCATCACAAACAACACCCGATATATTATCGTTATCACCCCAGTACACCACCTTCATCTCCCCAGTCCATCATCATCAACAACAACACCAGTACCCAACTCATCATCACAGTTCACCACCACATCATAATCACCATCACCCCAGTCCACCATCATCATCATCACAGCACACAATATGACATCATCATACCAATCGTCACTGTCATCACACTCGCGGATGACTGCACGCCAGCACACGCAGCGCTTATCTTGTAGCCGCACGATCAGGTCGCATGGCCCACGCTGTTTGATGCAACTCGGCATATTTGCCCACGATAACAACACGGAGACTTCAAAGTTACGGCTAGGAAATCCATGACAATGGAATGGTAGCTGAGTGCACAAATAAGACCCCTACAAAGTAATAACCCCCTTTGCAGATTACTTCCCCTACCCCGAGCACACAAAGCAGAGGGAGGGGGGGTGGGGGCTTCCTTGGGGGGTCTGTGCCCCACCGATTCTCTCCCTCCGCCTTTCTCCGACCTCCCACTCGAGCCGCTGTTACCTGGTGTCGCCTGGTGTCGCCAGGTAACCACGCGCGCGCGTGCGTGAGTCACGCGCAGCGGGGGGTCGGAGCCGCAGGTAAGGCGACGGCGGCGAGTCGAGGTGTTTGGACTCGGAGCGTGAGAGGAGCGCGCAGAGACGGAGAGGACGCGGAGAGAACGCGGAGGGCAGCAGCTCGGGGCGAGTGACTCGCGCGGGTCGGGCCGCTTCGGATTCGACTCCGCGTCTCGGCGCGAGGAGGAGGAAGAGGAGGAGGAGGTAAGCAGCGGTAGGCGAGGGTTGTGTGGGATAGAAGGTGTGAGGAGGCCGAGAGGAGGTTGTTGATGAGGTGGTAGGGAGGACAGGAGGAAGAAGTGAACCATTTTCCCGTCACTCGGAGAGACACACATGGGAACGATTCATCTTCTTGGTTTTTTCGGTAAAGTCACGTAGAAGGGAAGTAATAAAATAATAAAAATAAAACATAATAAAATAATTCTCACGACGTTTCGGCTACAACGCAAGCAGCCGTCTTCAGGTGAAGAATGAGACATTGCCAAGCTAGGAGCTTATATATAAGCTGAGTTGGAGGTGGAAGAAGAAGAGAGCCTGCTTGCGTTGTAGCCGGAACGTCGTGAGAATTATTTTATGTTTTATTTTGATTATTTTATTACTTCCCTTCTACGTGACTTTACTGAAAAAACCAAGAAGATGAATCCCTGGAGTCACGAAAGCTTTAAATCGAAAAATGGGAACGATTGTTGACATCGGGGGCTGAGAGGGACACGTGTGGAGTAGCCAAAGGGGTCCGTGTGGAGTTGCCAAGGGGGTCCATATGGAGTAGCCAAGGGGGTCCATGTGGAGTCGCCAAGGGGGTCCATGTGGAGTAGACAATGGGGGGCTCTGCGTGTGGTTGCGTGTGACCGCGATTCTCTTGCAAATGACACCTCATGTGGCCCCCCCTCTCCGCGCACAGGTACCCCCAAGATCCAGAACCCCCTTTCCTCCGAGGACCCCCTAATAACGGACAGGGACCCCTCCTCACTCCGTGACCATCGCGGCCACTCCGATGCGCGTTCCCGCGCTAGCGGGGTGAGCGACCCGCGGCGTCGGCTATTATGTTCCTGGCCGGCCCTGCTCCGATTCTCACACCACCTCCCGTCCAGGGGCACAACTTTCTCAGCCGTCCTCTGTTCTTCCCGGGCGCCGCGTGGTCGGACCCCAGCGCCATGGAGACCTTCCATCACTTCCACCACGGAGGACGCGGCACCACCACCACCACCTCGCCCTACTCCTCCTACTCGTCCTCCACCCCGCCACATTACCCCTACCAACACGCCTACCCCTACCTGCACCCCGGCGCCTATTTCGCCCCGTACGTCAACCCGTACGCGTACCATCAACACGCGGCAGGCTACTACGCCGGCTATCCTGGCACGTTCGGGCTCTACTACAACCAGCAGCAGCAGCAGCAGCATCATCAGCAGCAGCATCATCATCAGCAACATCATCATCAGCATCAGCACCAGGCGCAGGACCTGCAGCATTGGCCCGAGGGCGCGAGGCTGAGCGGGGAGCTGCGCTTCGGGGAGGTGTCGCGGGTCCACGCGGGCAGCGAGCGGCGCCCGCTGCCCGCGCTCGTGCTGGCGGACCTGCGGCGCGTGTACGGCACCTTCCCGCACACCGCCTTCTCCGTGAGCCGCAGCGGCGGCGAGTTCCTGGTGCACGGGGAGCCGCGCGTGGGGCCCCAGGAGTACACCGTGGAGCGACGCGTGCTCAGGCCCAGCCCGAGTCCCAGCGGCAGCAGCAGCGGAGACAGCGACGGGGGCCGGAGGGGGAAGGGGAAGGGCAAGAAGGGGGCCAGGCGCTAGGACGAGGGCGGCGAGGGACGCGGGGGGGGGGGGTGGTGGTGGTGCCGGGGCGAGTCTGTGGCTCCGTCTCGCCCGGCCGTCGTGGGAGGTTCCATTGCCACCTGCCGGGAATTTGCTTGTGTGCGCCACGGGTGGCAGGCGGCCTCGGCGTGGTCCTGGCCGCACCACGAGGGCCTCGTGCACCGTGGCGGCCTTCGCAGGTGCTGCCCGCTACCAACACTTGCCCCTCCCTGCCTGTCGAAGGCGATGCGGGGGGGGGGTGTTCGTCTTTGACTTTGTTTTACATACGAATATGAAAATACTGTATACGTTTGGGAATAAAACGAAATAAATGTTTACAAAAGGATAAATGTGTGCACGGGTGATTTGCTATCTCTTGTTGTAATGTAATGTTGGTTTGTTGAACTTCTTTCGCGCCCTACGTAGTCAACCGTGCTAAGCGGAGGTGAGCGAGTGCCAGTTTAAAGGTGACAGGAGATAGTGAAATGTGACCGCAGACACGAGGGTGTACACGAGAATAATTGGTTTGTAAAAACTATAATTAGTAACAACAACAATTAATAACAGTAACAACAACAACCGACAACGATGCACGCCCCCCCCCCGCCCGCGTGTTCAATGGCACCAAACAAATAAATACTGACACACACCTCGTCACTCACCTCGTCACCATCACACAACCTCATCACCATCACACAACCTCATCACCATCACTCACCTCGTCACTCACCTCGTAACCATCACACAACCTCATCACCATCACACAACCTCATCACCATCACTCACCTCGTCATTCACCTCGTAACCATCACACAACCTCATCACTCACCTCATCACTCACCTCGTCACCATCACTCACCTCGTCACCATCACTCACCTCGTCACTCACCTCATCACTCACCTCATCACTCACCTCGTCACCATCACTCACCTCGTCACCATCACTCACCTCGTCACTCACCTCATCACTCACCTCATCACTCACCTCGTCACCATCACTCACCTCGTCACCATCACACAACCTCATCACTCACCTCATCACTCACCTCGTCACCATCACTCACCTCATCACTCACCTCGTCACCATCACTCACCTCGTCACCATCACTCACCTCATCACTCACCTCATCACTCACCTCGTCACCATCACTCACCTCATCACTCACCTCATCACTCACCTCGTCACCATCACACAACCTCGTCACCATCACACAACCTCGTCACCATCACACAACCTCATCACTCACCTCATCACTCACCTCGTTACCATCACTCACCTCATCACTCACCTCGTCAACATCACACAACCTCATCACCATCACTCACCTCATCACTCACCTCGTTACCATCACTCACCTCATCACTCACCTCGTCAACATCACACACCTCATCACTCACCACCCCACATCGTCATCCCTGCCCCTCGCACTCCACATCGCTCACCTCCCTCCCTCCCTCCCTCACCTCTCTCCCACACCTCTCTCCCACACCTCCCTCCCTCACCTCCCTCCCTCACCTCCCTCCCTCACCTCCCTCCCCCACTCACCTCCCTCCCTCCCCTCCCTTCTCTCTGTCACCGAGTCGCCGCTCACAGCAACAGATCGCGCTTTGTTCTCCGAGAGATGAAAGCGTGGCCCACCCCACAACCCCCCTCCCCACACCCCCCCTCCGCACAACCCCCCTCCCCACAACCCCCCTCCCCACAACCACCCACCCCACAACCCCCCTCCCCACAACCCCCCTCCCCCTCAACCTAGACCCGCCCCCACCTCCTTGTATCTCCCTCCCCCCGCCCCCCTGCTCACCCCCCCGTGGTGGTGGAAGAGGAGGAGCGCGGGGCGAGTCGCCACTCGCCCGCGGGCTACCCGCCCGGCAGGCCTCGCTCTGGCGAGACCACCTCCACCGTTCGAAACTCCGCACATATGGATCCAAGAATACATTTCCGTACTGCCATCACCTGCCCACCTCGGAGCCCGAGCCTATAGCATCTGTGACTCCCAGGCAGTTTCACGTCCAAGCACTAAAAGGTGCATTCCGGGAGATTGAGCCGCATGCAAATCGAGTGCGGGTTAGCGAGCCGCCGATTAAGGCAAACGCAGAGCGGACGTGGTGGTGGGCGAGGTGGAAAGGTCGGAATGGCCACGCATGCCTAGCCGCCTTTGTCTCTCCGGCTTTGACGGTTTCATGACCACTACTAGCACCAATCGGACTCATTTCAGGCCAAGTAGACCCAATGGGGATCCCCACCAGGTTGAATAAAACTCTGGGAGTGTATGGGCAGAGCCACAGGAATGCACACCCCACCTCGCACTCAACAACACCAACCACAATAACAACCACAATAACGTATCTCTCATTCCCAAGGCTTAGCTATCCACCGGGTCTGTCCGGGTTGGCGACCTGCACATATTGTTGCATCCGGCACACCACATCCACAGCACCTCTCACGTTGGCCGTGGCTCGTCGCGTGCGACCAACTCCACTCCAGCAGTGGCCCAGAAAATATCCGGTCCGGCCCTGCTCATCCCTCGGCCACGTGCCAGATCTGTTGAGTCGAGTCCGGCCCGGCTCACACGGTGGACTCTTGCCCCCCGTCGCCCGTGACCTCCTCCCCGCTGCCGTAGTGCGTCAGCGGGGGGGGGGCGCTCTCGTGAGCCCTCCCCGCCACGATGCTCAGCCTCCCGCTCCCGCCGTGCCGCGGCGACACCTTCACCAGCCGCTCGCGGTACGGGATGGCCGGCGGCGGCGGGGGGGGCAGCGGCGGGGGAGGCAGCGGAAGCGCCACCGGCGGACGACGCTTGGCGCGGAGCTCCCCATTGGCACGGAGCTCCCCGTTGGCGCGGAGCTCCCCGTTGGCGCGGCTCCCGTCCGGCGGCGGCTCGGCGCCGGCGAACTGTGGGGCGGCGGAGTGGCGCAGCGAGGCGCGGTACGAGGCCAGCAGCGCCACGTCCTCGCTGCCCACCAGCGGCACGCGCGACTGCCGCTGCTCGCGCCGCCGTCGGTGCGGCCGGTACGAGCGGCCCCCCCCGCCGCCGCCGCTCTCGCCGATCGTCACCCTCCTGCTCCTCTTCCACCTTCGCACTGCCACCGCCGCCGCCGCCACCGTCGCCGCCGTCGCCGCCGCCGCCGCGATCGGGACGACCCAGCTTTTCCACGCGCCGCCGCCGGCTAACGCCGAGCGGGATCCCTCGGGGCGGCAGAGATTCAGGGCGTCGTCGGAGACGGTCAGAGAGAAGGCGGCGACGGCGCGGTGCGAGCGGCGCTCCAGGGCGGAGCACTCGTACACGCCGGAGCGCTCGCGGCCCAGCGCCAGCAGCAGGAGGCCGTCCGGCAGGGCCCGCCAGGCCGGGGCCTCGGAGGGCGGCGGCCGCCGCAGCTGGCGCCCCTCGTGGAGCCAGCGGGCGTGGGCGTGAGCCGAGGGCATCGGGCAGGGCAGGAACGCGCTGCCCCCGAGAGCGGCCAGCACCGGGGTCACGGTGGGGGTGGCTGCGTACGGGGGAGAGGGCCGATTGGGCACATGAGTGGCTCGTTCGCGTTCAGCTTTGCGATGTTGTCGGTGCCGCGAGACGAAGCGCCGTGCATCACCCCGTGGTGCGGTGGCCTGGTGGAGTAGCGTGGGGTAGTGTGGCGCCGAGGTGCGTGATGAGGTGTGTGGTGAATGGCGAGATGTTTGGTGAGGTGTTCTGTGTGGTGAGCTGTGGTGAGGGGTGGCGGTGGTGCTCACCCTGTTTCTCGGCGCACTCCCCCACGTCCCCGTTCTCCACATCTTGGATGCGGTATCCTCTGTCACACGCAAAGGAACGACACGCGACGGAATCACTCGCGAAGGAATCACGCGCGAATGAACCACACAAAAAACTGATTACCACGACGTCCGCTCCTTGAGATGGCGCGTGTGGGTGCAGGCGGCACTGTGGGGTGCGTAGCGCTGCGCGGGGGATCCGGGGGTGGGGGTCGCATGTTCTCACCCGTTGTCCAGCACCCCCACACAGCCCCATTTAGCGTCCCATGCGCACGTGGGGTCACGCGCGAGAACGCAGTCGGCGCACGAGGGGTAGCGCCCGCACGCGGCGCCCCCCAGCGCCACCTGTGCCACCGCGTGCCCGCTCCCCACGAAGAGCCGCGTCTGGGGAGGGGGACAGGAGGGGTGCGGCGTTGGTCGGGGCCACGGCGATCACGACGCTCCCCACCACACTGACACTCACCCTCACCCTAACACTGACACTCACCCTAACACTCACCCTAACACTCACCCTCACCCTAACACTAACACTCACACTAACACTCACCCTAACACTGACACTCACCCTAACACTAACACTCACCCTAACACTAACACTCACCCTAACACTAACACTCACCCTAACAGTAACACTCACCCTCACACTAACACTCACCCTCACCCTAACACTGACACGCACCCTAACACTCACCCTCACCCTAACACTAACACTCGCCCTCACCCTCACACTCACACTGGCCAAGTGACCCTGAGCCCCTCTCTCTGCCCGCACCCCCTGGCGCCCACCTTGTCGTGCGAGATCTGCAGGCTGCTGATTGGCTGTGGGTCACTGAAGAGGTGCAGCTCCTCGATGACGTGGGCCGGCTGCCCCGGGGGACCCAGCAGAGCCTTGTGCAGCAGCCCTGAGTCTGACATCGTCATCATCATCACCGCCACCATCATCACCGCCATCACCACCATCGCCATCATCATCGACACCACCATCATCACCGCCATCACCACCATCGCCATCATCATCGCCATCATCGCCATCATCACCACCATCATCATCACCGCCATCATCATCATCGTCATCACCACCATCATCATCACCATCATCGCTATCATCACCACAACCATCATCATTGCCATCATCGCCATCATCATCACCACCACCATCATCATTAGCATTGTCATTAGCATCAGCATCACATTATCATCTTTGTGTCTGATGTCACATCATCATCAAGCCATCAGACAACCATAATCCTGTGATCTGACGTCATCATTATCGGAAACAGATCCACACATCACCATCGTCATCACTTTGTCTATCATCACCAATGTAATCACCGTTCTGTCAGCTGACATGATCCCCAAAAATCATTCTCATTGTTACCATTATCATCCCCTTCATCACTACATCGTCATTTTTGTCATCATCACGATCTTTCCATCTTATGTTAATGTACTTATTAACCGAGCAGAGCCACTCTGCTCCTGCTTTGCATTTTATTTTAAGATGTTTTCAGCGAATTAATATTTATTTGTGTAGGAGGGAACCGGAGTACCCGGAGATAACCCACGCCTTGAGTGAGGGGGCAACGCTCTATCACCGTACAGATGGACACAGATGCCGATTAGTCCGCTTGCTGTACCGCCTTCTTCTGGAGAGCCAGGGTACTGCACCTCCTGGACGCCCACGTGGAGGGAGTTTCACAACGCATGTGTGGTGATCCACCAACCCTACCCAGCACCACCGCCCCTTCCTTGGCTGCGTGAATTGAGGAATTGAGGTTGGGGGGGGGAAGCGCTGTGGTTGTAGATCGCGGGGCTGTGGTGGGGGGGGGCTCACCTGTGCCCAGGTAGACGAGGTCGCGGGGGGCGCCGTTAGCGTCCAGCACCCGAAGCAGCGCCACCTGCGTGTAGCGCAGCCCGGGGGGGGCCACGAGGATGGGGCCCGCGCCCCCCCCCGGGGTCACCGCCTGCGCCATGAGGGGGTGCTCCAGGGCAAAGGTCAAGGTCTGCTCGGGCAGGTCCGTGGAGTTCTTGATCCCCCGCGCGCGCATGGCGTTCGTGATGCACTACGCACGCACGCGCAGCATATACCTCACCGTGTGTCCCCCGTGCCCTCGCCGTGCGTTCCCCTTCTCCCCCCGTGCACCCCCCCCCCCCCCCCCCACTGCTCCTTCCACCCTCCCCCTCGTGTCTCACCGATCCGGGTCGTGGGGAGGGGATGTTGGTGCTGCGGGCACTCCAGCACATGCTGTCGGAGTGGAACTCGCGGTACGGGCCTTGGAATACGTCACGTAGGCGCGACACGGGGAGCGGGCACAGCGCCGAGATGGGGCCCCACGGCCTGGGCACCGCACACCGCACCACGGGGAACACAGCGGGTACACGTCACCACAAGCGAGATCCATCCGAGTGTCATCGCTGTCAGTGTAAGAGAACCTCCGGGACAACCTCGGCGCTGTTCCGGTGAACATTGCGGAGGAGTGGAGGCGCCGTGATCCTGGAACCTCCTGCGCTAAATCTGCGTCCGGGTCTTGCTGACGGACAGCCGATCCATCCCGTGACCGAGGATAGTGGCGCCCTTTGCACGACTACAAATGGCCAGAGGTACCCCCCGGCCCCGCTCCCCGCCCCCCGCCCCCCGCCTCTGCTCCCAAAGCCTCACCCCTGGGACTCAAAGACTCCGTAGAAGAGGCCGTCGCGCCACGACGGCCCGGCCTGATGGTAAAACACAGAGCGGATTTTCTGCAGCGGCCCGAGCGAGCCGGGCAGCGTGCACTCCACGCGGGCCTTGAGGAAGGACGACCACCGCTTCTGCAGGGCCTTCAGCCCCCCGAGGTCTCCCTGCCGAGAGGAGGGAGTGCGGGAGAGGAGGGCGTCAGGGTCAACCATACAGGGTCCGCAGGTTTTGGTAGAATGACTCGTACATGCACACACAGTCACACACACACGCACGGTCACGCACAACAACAGCTGCCATTCGCCACTACGTGCGCCTGTGCCAAGCCAGGTGCATTTTGAGGCCACGTGAAGTGTCGAAGGCCCGTGACAGACCCAGGTGACATGGGTTGACTAAGATGAGTCGTAGATGCACCAGCTGTGCCCCCTACTATTATCAACCCGGCGCTCTGCTCGTTGTTGTGAGCGTCACTCCTCCGCTCTCCGTTGTTGTTAGAGGGCGACTGACTTCAACTGACCAGTAGCGTCCTTCACGAGCCTCCTCCATAGGCGCACACACATTGCACGTACGCACATGTGTGCGCACACACGTGGTACACACCTTGCACACGCGTGCCACGCTGGCCACCATGGCCCTCGTGTCCCTGTCCCTCTCGCTGAAGAAGATGTACACCTTGTCGTCATCGCCATCCTCGCTATCCTCACTCTCCCGCACCGCGCCCAGGAACACGAAGTCCGGATCTGACGGGGTTGACCAGGTCACGGGGTCAGGGCACGCGGGAGTCAGGGGTCACCTTAATGCCATCGGGGTCACGAGGATCAAGGGCTAGTTTCGGCGGTCACAGGTAGGGGTCAAGGATGACGATGGGCGAGGGGGTGATGGGTCAGGCGTCACGGTGGGTCACGGTGGGTGTGTTTGTGTGTGCGTGTTGCAGGGAGCGGCGGTGCGGTGGTTAGCACACCGCGCCACGAACCCGCGAGTTTCATTCTCGGCCAGGTCGGCTCGGCCTTAAAAGTTAAAACATCGGCACTGGGGAGACAAAGGCGGCCGGGCGTGGTGCTGGCCATGCCCACCCACTCGCTCTCCGTGTCGGCGGAGTGCGAGTGGGTGGGCGCCGCGGGCCTGTCAAGGGCTCTACAGCTGGGGGATCTTTGTCTTTGTTGCGAGCGTCTCTCACGGCTGAGCCAGTCGTTGAGAAGTTCCGTCTTGAGGGGAGTCCGCCCCCCGAGGGAGCGCGCCACCACGTACTCGGTGCTCAGGAAGTTGTTGGACGTGGCGGTGTAGATCTCACCATCTGACAGGTGAGGGAGGGGAGAGGAACACGGGTGAGGGGGGAACACAGGTGAGGGAGGCGAGGCAAGGAGGGAGGAAATCAGCACAGGTGAGGGTGATATTTGGATGAGGGAAGGAGAGATTGGAGGGAGGGGAGCGCAGGTGAGGGAGGGAGGGAGGGGAGCGCAGGTGAGGGAGGGTTAGAGGGGAGAGGGATGCAGGTGAGGGTGGAAGCGGTTTGAGGTGATGGGAGAACGATAGGAGAGGGCAGGAGACACACGGGTGAGTGAGGTGAGTGAGGTGAGCGAGGTGATGTGAGGTGAGGTGATGTGAGAGAGGTGAGGAAAGCAGGCATTGCAGCTAAAATAGAAGGGAGAGATGAGGGGGAGAGGGGGTGGAAGTGAAAGAGTGAGGTGAGTGAGTGAGGTCTGCTGGTATGAGGGCGGGAGGTCAACACACAGAGAGGGAGCGCACGGTGACTCAGACACGAGCGCTGGCTTTGACAATAACAACTTTTACATCAACACAACCATCACCAACATCAACACCATCAACATGCCATTCACCACCCTCACCATCAACATGCCATTCACCATCATCGGAATCGAGTCCCCCCCTCCCCCTCCAGGTACAGTGAGACTCTCACACCTGCGCGCTGCAGTCGGACAAACAACCCCGTACAGCCCCCACCCCGCACAGCCCCCACCCCGCACAGCCCCCACCCCGCACAGCCCCCACCCCGCACAGCCCCCACCCCGCACAGCCCCCACCCCGCACAGCCCCCACCCCGCACAGCCCCCACCCCGCACAGCCCCCACCCCGCACAGCCCCCACCCCGCACAGCCCCCACCCCGCACAGCCCCCACCCCGCACAGCCCCCACCCCGCACAGCCCCCACCCCGCACAGCCCCCACCCCGCACAGCCCCCACCCCGCACAGCCCCCACCCCGCACAGCCCCCACCCCGCACAGCCCCCACCCCGCACAGCCCCCACCCCGCACAGCCCCCACCCCGTACAGCCCCCACCCCGCACAGCCCCCACCCCGCACAGCCCCCACCCCGCACAGCCCCCACCCCGCACAGCCCCCACCCGCACAGCCCCCACCCCGTATAGCCCCCACCTCCTTCACTCGCCCGGAGAAATCCGCGGAAGCGCCGAGCGCGTGCTGAGAAGAGCGGCGGGGGGAGACGGGGCCTGGGGGTAGCCCCGCCCCCCGCCCCCGCACGGTGAAACCCAAAACTCCGGGGGGAGGGGGGGGGGTCCGGGGGCCCCGGGCACTTCCCACCAGCCCAGCACCCTGCGTCAACACGAACACCCGCACGTGTGGTGGTACACACGTGTGTACCACCACACGTGTGTACCACCCACGTGTGCACTACATACACGTGTGGTGGTAGACACGTGACTGTGGTGCACACGTGTGCACAACCACACGTGTGCACAACCACACGTGTGCACCACCCACGTGTGCACCACAGTCACGTGTGCACCACAGACACGTGTGTACCACCACCCGTGCACCACCACACGTGTGCACCACAGACACGTGTGTACCACCACACGTGTGCACCACCACACGTGTGGTTGTAGACACGTGTGGTGGTGCGCACGGGTGGTATGCGAGCAGTGACACACGCAGGAACTCGGCGGGCAAGTTCCCGCTCGCCACGATTGACCGCAGAGACACTAAACCCGGGTTCAACTCGCCAGCCCCACCCCGCACCGCAACCACGACTCGCTGCGGGCACCAGCACCACCAGCACCACCACTCACTCTCCACCTGCCCCACTCAGCACCACCACCACTCACTCTCCACCTGCCCCACTCAGCACCACCTGTGTCACTCACTCCCTACCTGCCCCACTCAGCACCACCTGTGTCACTCACTCCCCACCTGCCCCACTCAGCACCACCACCACCACCACTCACTCCCCACCTGCCCCACTCACCCAGCACCACGGAGGCTGCCCCCTGGCTCCGGCTGTAGGGGCAGCGCCCGCGTCCTGCCTCCATCGCCGGGAGGAGCTGCAGGGGCCTGGGGGTGGTGCGCTGTGGGGCCACGGGGACACAGGGACCGGGGTACACACACAGGGGTACACACACACACACGGTACATACTCAGGGTACACACACACAGAGTACGCACACACAGGGTACACACACACAGGGGTACACACACACAGGGTACACACACACACACAGGGGTACACACACACACAGGGGTACACACACACAGGGTACACACACACACAGGGGTACACACACACAGGGTACACACACACACAGGAGTACACACACACAGGGGTACACACACACAGGGGTACACACACACAGGGTACACACACACACAGGGGTACACACACATGAGTACACGGGGGCAGGGGTACACACACACACAGGGTACACACGTAGATTCGTGTTGTCAACGGTGATGATGTGGATGATGATGATGGGACTTACGATGCATGAGCACTGCGAATTGCAGTGATGGTGACGATTTTGAATCTAGTACTGATGAACTTCTTTCACACCATACGTAGCCAAGCGTGCTAATCAGAGTAGTGATGATGTTGATGGTGTTAGCGAAGATTGTATTGTTGTTAATGATGATGATGGTGATGCTGTTGGTAATGCTGGTGATGGTCATAATGATGTTGGTAATGATGTTGGTAATGATGGTGATAGTCATGATGATGTTGGTAATGATGGTGATTGTCATGATGGTGATGATGTTGGTAATGCTGGTGATGGTGATGATGATGTTGTTAATGCTGGTGATGGTGATGTTGTTAGTGCTGGTGATGGTGAAGTTGGTAATGCTGGTGATGGTCACGATGGTGATGATGTGGGTAATGCTGGTGATGGTGATGATGATGTTGTTAATGCTGGTGATGGTGATGTTGTTAATGCTGGTGATGAAGTTGTTAATGCTGGTGATGGTCACGATGGTGATGATGTGGGTAATGCTGGTGATGGTGATGATGATGTTGTTAATGCTGGTGATGGTGATGTTGTTAATGCTGGTGATGGTGAAGTTGGTAATGCTGGTGATGGTCACGATGGTGATGATGTGGGTAATGCTGGTGATGGTGATGATGATGTTGTTAATGCTGGTGATGGTGAAGTTGGTAATGCTGGTGATGGTGAAGTTGGTAATGCTGGTGATGGTCACGATGGTGATGATGTTGACTCACGATGTAGGCGCACTGCGGGTTGAAGGCGTGTGTGCCGCACGTGAAGAGGTGGGAGTCATTGAGCCGGTGCAGCACGCGGATGTAGTTTGCACACTCCTGGCGACACAGCGGCAGCAGCAGCAGCATCAAAATCAGCAGCAGCATCAAAATCATCAGCAGCAGCAGCGACATCGCCGCACCGCGCACTAGTGGCCAGCGTAAGCTGCCGACATCGACCCGGCAGCCTCTGTGCAACGAGCGGCAAACGCGCGACCGCTGGGCCGCATCAGGGCCCCAGATCCCATTGCGTGGGTCCCTCCCTCCCTCACTCCCTCCCTTCCTCATGACCCTGACCCAGACCATGACCCAGACCATGAGCCTGACCTCCATCATGGGTCCCTTGCTGGAGCATTCAGATTTTTCGGACAGCGACGGAGCCCAGACGATCTGTGGAGACACGCGGACACCACCCAGCCACTCAGCGGACACCACCCAGCCACTCAGCGGACACCACCCAGCCACTCAGCGGACACCACCCAGCCACTCAGCGGACACCACCCAGCCCCTCAGCGGACACCACCCAGCCACTCAGCGGACACCACCCAGCCACTCAGCGGACACCACCCAGCCACTCAGCGGACACCACCCAGCCACTCAGCGGACACCACCCAGCCACTCAGCGGACACCACCCAGCCACTCAGCGGACACCACCCAGCCACTCAGCGGACACCACCCAGCCACTCAGCGGACACCACCCAGCCACTCAGCGGACACCACCCAGCCACTCAGTGGACACCACCCAGCCACTCAGCGGACACCACCCAGCCACTCAGCGGACACCACCCAGCCACTCAGTGGACACCACCCAGCCACTCAGCGGACATCACCCAGCCACTCAGTGGACACCACCCAGCCACTCAGCGGACACCACCCAGCCACTCAGCGGACACCACCCAGCCCCTCAGTGGACACCACCCAGCCACTCAGCGGACACCACCCAGCCACTCAGTGGACACCACCCAGCCACTCAGTGGACACCACCCAGCCACTCAGTGGACACCACCCAGCCCCTCAGCGGACACCACCCAGCCACTCAGTGGACACCACCCAGCCACTCAGCGGACACCACCCAGCCACTCAGCGGACACCACCCAGCCACTCAGCGGACACCACCCAGCCCCTCAGTGGACACCACCCAGCCACTCAGCGGACACCACCCAGCCACTCAGTGGACACCACCCAGCCACTCAGCGGACACCACCCAGCCACTCAGCGGACACCACACAGCCACTCAGCGGACACCACACAGCCACTCAGCGGACACCACCAGTCACTCAGCGGACACCACCCAGCCACTCAGCGGACACCACCCAGCCACTCAGTGGACACCACCCAGCCACTCAGCGGACACCACCCAGCCACTCAGCGGACACCACCCAGCCCCTCAGTGGACACCACCCAGCCACTCAGTGGACACCACCCAGCCCCTCAGTGGACACCACCCAGCCACTCAGCGGACACCACCCAGCCACTCAGTGGACACCACCCAGCCACTCAGTGGACACCACCCAGCCACTCAGCGGACACCACCCAGCCACTCAGCGGACACCACCCAGCCACTCAGCGGACACCACCCAGCCCCTCAGTGGACACCACCCAGCCACTCAGTGGACACCACCCAGCCACTCAGTGGACACCACCCAGCCACTCAGCGGACACCACCCAGCCACTCAGCGGACACCACCCAGCCACTCAGCGGACACCACCCAGCCACTCAGCGGACACCACCCAGCCACTCAGCGGACACCACCCAGCCCCTCAGTGGACACCACCCAGCCACTCAGTGGACACCACCCAGCCACTCAGTGGACACCACCCAGCCACTCAGCGGACACCACCCAGCCACTCAGCGGACACCACCCAGCCACTCAGCGGACACCACCCAGCCACTCAGCGGACACCACCCAGCCCCTCAGTGGACACCACCCAGCCACTCAGCGGACACCACCCAGCCACTCAGTGGACACCACCCAGCCACTCAGTGGACACCACCCAGCCACTCAGTGGACACCACCCAGCCCCTCAGCGGACACCACCCAGCCACTCAGCGGACACCACCCAGCCACTCAGCGGACACCACCCAGCCACTCAGCGGACACCACCCAGCCACTCAGCGGACACCACCCAGCCCCTCAGTGGACACCACCCAGCCACTCAGCGGACACCACCCAGCCACTCAGTGGACACCACCCAGCCACTCAGCGGACACCACCCAGCCACTCAGCGGACACCACACAGCCACTCAGCGGACACCACACAGCCACTCAGCGGACACCACCAGTCACTCAGCGGACACCACCCAGCCACTCAGCGGACACCACCCAGCCACTCAGCGGACACCACCCAGCCACTCAGCGGACACCACCCAGCCACTCAGTGGACACCACCCAGCCCCTCAGTGGGACACCACCCAGCCACTCAGCGGACACCACCCAGCCACTCAGCGGACACCACCCAGCCACTCAGCGGACACCACCCAGCCACTCAGCGGACACCACCCAGCCACTCAGTGGACACCACCCAGCCACTCAGCGGACACCACCCAGCCACTCAGCGGACACCACCCAGCCACTCAGCGGACACCACCCAGCCCCTCAGTGGACACCACCCAGCCACTCAGCGGACACCACCCAGCCACTCAGTGGACACCACCCAGCCACTCAGCGGACACCACCCAGCCACTCAGCGGACACCACACAGCCACTCAGCGGACACCACACAGCCACTCAGCGGACACCACCCAGTCACTCAGCGGACACCACCCAGCCACTCAGTGGACACCACCCAGCCACTCAGCGGACACCACCCAGCCACTCAGCGGACACCACCCAGCCACTCAGTGGACACCACCCAGCCACTCAGCGGACACCACCCAGCCACTCAGCGGACACCACCCAGCCACTCAGCGGACACCACCCAGTCACTCAGTGGACACCACCCAGCCACTCAGCGGACACCACCCAGCCACTCAGCGGACACCACCCAGCCACTCAGCTGGACACCACCCAGCCACTCGCCGGCGGCCAGTCCCCTCCCTGTCCCTCTTCTAGCGCTGCTACGGCTTGTGGTGACTGCCTCACCTGAACTTTACTCACCGATTCCTCCACCCGTCCTGAAGACTCGGGTCGACCAGACGGAACAATTTCGTCTCGTCCACCACCACACCGCAGGTCACAACAACAACCGCTATTCGCCACTAAGTGGCGGTGACGTCATCACGGCGCGTGTGCCAGGCTAGGTGCACCTTGAGGCCACGTGAAGTGTCGAACCCCCAATGGCAAAGAGGTCACGGGGCAGACCCAGGTGCCACGGGTCGACTGACCGAGACGACTGGTTGATGCACCACCTGTGCCCCCCTACTGTGCCAACTTGCTGTGCTTTAGCCACCCGGTGCTCTGCTTGTTGTTGCGAGTGTCGCTCCTCCGCCCTCCGTTGTTGTTGGAGGGCGACTGCCTCCAACTGCCCAGTAGCGTCCTTCAGGAGCCTCCTCCAGGTCACAACAACTCACTCACTCACCCCCTCACCCACTCACCAACCTATTCACTCACTCACCCCCTCACTCACTCACCCCCTCACCCACTCACCCACCACCTCACTTCCACCTCACCGCAGGTCACCTCACCGCTCTCTCTGCTTCGACCCTCACCTCTCCCATCGCCGCCGCCGTCTCTCACCCTCCCCCCACCCGCCTCGCCTCTTGGTACAAATCACCTCGCTCCACTCAATCCAAACAGAGAACGGTGGGGGTGTGGGGGGGGGGTGCACGTGGCTGTGTGGGGGAGCACGTGGCTGTGTGGGGGAGCACGTGGCTGTGTGGGGGAGCACGTGACTGTGTGGGGGAGCACGTGGCTGTGTGAGGGAGCACGTGGCTGTGTGGGGGAGCACGTGGCTGTGTGGGGGAGCACGTGACTGTGTGGGGGAGCACGTGGCTGTGTGGGGGAGCACGTGGCTGTGTGGGGGTGCACGTGGCTGTGTGGGGGAGCACGTGGCTGTGTGGGGGTGCACGTGACTGTGTGGGGGAGCACGTGGCTGTGTGAGGGAGCACGTGGCTGTGTGGGGGAGCACGTGGCTGTGTGAGGGAGCACGTGGCTGTGTGGGGGAGCACGTGGCTGTGTGGGGGAGCACGTGACTGTGTGGGGGAGCACGTGGCTGTGTGGGGGAGCACGTGGCTGTGTGGGGGTGCACGTGGCTGTGTGGGGGAGCACGTGGCTGTGTGGGGGAGCACGTGACTGTGTGGGGGAGCACGTGGCTGTGTGGGGGAGCACGTGGCTGTGTGGGGGTGCACGTGGCTGTGTATGGGGTGCACGTGGCTGTGTGGGGGTGCACGTGACTGCGTGGGGGAGCACGTGGCTGTGTGGGGGAGCACGCGACTGTGTGGGGGAGCACGCGACTGTGTGGGGGAGCACGTGGCTGTGTGGGGGAGCACGCGGCTGTGTGGGGGAGCACGCGGCTGTGTGGGGGAGCACGCGACTGTGTGGGGGAGCACGCGACTGTGTGGGGGAGCACGTGGCTGTGTGGGGGAGCACGTGGCTGTGTGGGGGAGCACGTGACTGTGTGGGGGAGCACGTGACTGTGTGGGGGAGCACGTGACTGTGTGGGGGAGCACGTGGCTGTGTGGGGGAGCACGTGACTGTGTGGGGGAGCACGTGGCTGTGTGGGGGAGCACGTGGCTGTGTGGGGGAGCACGTGGCTGTGTGGGGGAGCACGTGGCTGTGTGGGGGAGCACGTGACTGTGTGGGGGAGCACGTGGCTGTGTGGGGGAGCACGTGGCTGTGTGGGGGAGCACGTGACTGTGGGGGGGAGCACGCACCGGCGGAGCCACGGGGCGGCTCACGTTGCTCGCGTCGAGCACGTGTATCGCGTCCCGCCCGCCCAGCAGCAGCAGCCCCTCCAACTCGAGCAGCTGCGAGGAACTCCCCGCAGTGGAGGCGTTCTCCTCCACGGAGAGGTCAGTCCACACGAGGACCCCCTTCAGTTCTGGTGAGGGGGGGGGGGACAGCGGAGGAGAATAGGGGGAGGGAGGGTGGAGAAGTTAAAATAATCAAGTCAAAGTGATGTCCTACATCTCTGAGCTAGTGATGGAAATTCCACATTGCTGTGACCGGGACGAGTTCATCCATAGTTGAAAGCGCTATTGACTTCCCCGAAAACGTGGTACCGGAGGGATGATTGTTGAGAGTTGTGCACGACACGAGGAGGCCGGAGTGAGGGGGGAGTCACGGGTAGTGGGGGTCACGGGTAGTGGGTCACGGGTGGGGGGGGTCACGGGTGGGGGCGGTCACGGGTAGTGGGGGTCACGCTTCTCACCTCTCTGAGGAACAGACACGCGAGGTCCAGCAGTGAAGTTGAACTCCGAACCCAGGGCCGCCACGGCCGCCACGGCCGCGAGAAGAATGAGCGAGAGGAGGAGGGGCCCGCCGTGAGACCCCATGTGGAGCCGGGGTCCCAGTCGAACCCCCGCCGAGAGGAACGCGGTGGCGAGAGGAGTGGGGAGTGTCTGCGGCACAGGACGAGGGGATGAGAGGACGCAACCCGAGGAGATGGAACTCAGTGGTCACGCAACTACACGCGACTCGACTCACCCGAGGTCCGGTGAGTGTTAGGGTCAAGATTAGCGTCAGGGCCATGGTTAGGGTTAAAGCGTTAGATGTTAGGGTGATGGGTAGGAGTAGGGTCAGGGTATGGGGTTCGGGGCTGGAGGTATTGGGTTAGAGGTCATGCGTAACAATCGGGTGACGAGTGTGAGTAGGGCTATGGGGTTAGGGGTCAGGGGGCGAGTGGTCCCGCACGCGTGGCGGCGGTGAGGCGCCTCTGAGTGATCCTCCCTCCCCCCCCCGCTCTCTCTCTCTTTTTTTTACGATCAGTGGAAACAAGAAGATGCTCGGTGTATTCGGCACTTTGTTTCGTTCATCATTTCGTAATTTTTTTTTTAACGGGGCTTTATGTAGCCCTCGCTCGCTCGCTCGCTCTCTCGCTCACTCTCTCGCTCTCTCTCTCCCCCGCTCTCTCCATCTCTCCCTCTCTCTCTCCATCTCTCCCTCCCCCTCTCTCTCCATCTCTCCCTCCCTCTCCCCCGCTCTCTCCATCTCTCCCTCCCTCTCCCCCGCTCTCTCTCCCCCTCTCACTCCATCTCTCCCTCCCTCTCCCCCGCTCTCTCTCCCCCTCTCTCTCCATCTCGCCCTCCCTCTCCCCCGCTCTCTCTCTCTCTGGGCGAGCGGACGCGGCGTTCCGAGTTCACGTCGTGACCATGACCAGTGTTAGGGTGAGGGATTGAGTGCAAGGTGTAAAGGTGTCTGTGTGTCTGTGTGTGTCTGTGTGTGTGTGTGTCTGTGCGTATCTGTGCGTGTCTGTGTGTGTGTCTGTGTGTGTCTGTGTGTGTGTGTGTGTGTCTGTGTGTGTGTCTGTGCGTGTCTGTGTGTGTGTGTGTCTGTGTGTGTGTATGTGTCTGTGTGTGTGCATGTGTGTGTGTCTGTGTGTCTGTGTGTCTGTGTATGCGCGTGACATTGCCACACCTCCCCATTGTTGTCAATAGCGCCATAGCCTCATCCACCTCGTCATTGTGTTTACCATCATCATAAACATGATCATAAACATGATCATAAACATCATCATCATCCTTCACCAATCATTATCGTCATGAACATCAACCACGATCATCACTCCACGTACCCTGGGTTCCTGCGTCTGTTCTCTGGGCTTCACCTGTATCAGGTCACACCTGCGTGAGAGTGTGAGAGAATGTGAGAGAGTGTGTGTGAGAGTGAGAGAGTGTGTGAGAGAGTGAGAGAGCGTGAGAGAGTGAGAGAGCGTGAGAGAGTGAGAGAGTGTGAGAGAGAGAGAGTGTGAGAGAGTGTGAGTGTGGGAGAGAGTGTGTGAGAGAGTGTGAGAAAGAGAGTGTGAGAGAGTGAGAGTGTGAGAGTGTGAGAGAGTGAGAGTGTGAGAGAGTGAGAGAGAGTGAGATAGAGTGACAGAGTGTGAGAGTGCGTGAGAGTGAGAGAGAGTGAGATAGAGTGACAGAGTGTGAGAGAGTGAGAGAGAGTGTGAGAGAGTGAGATAGAGTGACAGAGTATGAGAGTGCGTGAGAGTGTGAGAGAGTGAGAGTGAGAGAGAGTGTGAGAGAGTGAGATAGAGTGACAGAGTGTGAGAGTGTGTGAGAGTGTGAGAGTGCGTGAGAGAGTGAGAGAGTGAGAGTGGAAAGACTGAGCGTGAGAGTGCGCACACCTGGAATAAAGGTGATGCAGTGTGTGTCTGTGTGTGTGTCTGTGTGCGTGTCTGTGTGCATGTGTACGTGTCTGTACGTGTCTGTGTGCGTGTCTGTGTTGACGTGTCTATGTGTACGTGTCTATGTGTACGTGTATGTGTGCGTGTCTGTGTGTACGTGTCTGTGTGCGTGTCTGTGTGTGTCTGCGGTCATCTCAGTCAGTCGACCCGTGGCACCTGCCAGCGGGCGTTCGACACTTCACGTGGCCTCAAGGTGCACATGGCCTGGCACAAGCGTCGTGGTGACGGCACCGCCACTTAGTGGCGAATGGCGGTTGTTGTGTCTGGTGTGTGCGTGTCTGTGTGTGTCTGTGTGTACGTGTCTGTGTGTGTGTGTGCGTGTGTACGTGTCTGTGTGTATGTACGTGTCTGTGTGTACGTGTCTGTGTGTGTCTCGATATAGATTTCCCCGTAGTTTTGATCGGTGGCGCTGTGCTACGAACCCGCGACCCGAGTTCGATTCCCGCTCACGGCCAACATCACCAGTGACGATTATCTGAACCGGTCCTGGACGTCCCCGTAGGTTGACTCAGCCTCAAACAGAACACTCATCAGCATCGCTGTGGTGAACATCCGTGTTTGTGAGTTCGCCTGCGGTCACATTTCCGCGTGGCGGTGCGAGTGTGACGGTGAGAGTGTGAGAGAGTGTGAGTGTGTGAGAGTGTTCGCGTGTGAAGGAGTGTGGCTGTAAATGAGTGTGAGTGAATACCGTGAGTGTTTACGTGAGAGAGCGTGTACGACTGAGAGTGTTTCGCGTGAATGTACAGGTCAGCGAATGAGGGTGTTGTTACGTGAGTCTACGAGGCGAAGCGAGTGTGGTCACGTGAGATGTGTGATTGTGAGAGTGTTTACGTGAGAGTTGCGTGACAGAGCGTGCGTGCGAGTTTGTGGGTGCAAGAGTTGTTTACCTGGAAGTTCACCTGGTATGAGAGTTGCCGCTCAGAGCGAGTGAGTGGACGAGAGCGAGTGAGTGTGCGAGTGAGTGTGTGTACGTGCGAGTGTGTGTACGTGCGAGTGTGTGTACGTGCGAGTGTGTGTGTGTACGTGCGAGTGAGTGTGCGAGTGAGTGTGTGTACGTACGAGTGTGTGTGTGTGTACGTGCGAGTGTGTGTACGTGCGAGTGTGTGTACGTACGAGTGTGTGTGTGTGTACGTGTGAGTGAGAGTGTGTGTACGTGCGAGTGAGAGTGTGTGTACGTGCGAGTGAGTGTGTGTGTACGTGCGAGTGAGTGTGTGTGTACGTGCGAGTGAGAGTGTGTGTACGTGCGAGTGAGAGTGTGTGTACGTACGAGTGAGTGTGTGTACGTGCGAGTGAGTGTGCGAGTGAGTGTGTGTACGTGCGAGTGAGTGTGCGAGTGAGTGTGTGTACGTGCGAGTGAGTGTGCGAGTGAGTGTGTGTACGTGCGAGTGAGTGTGCGAGTGAGTGTGTGTACGTGCGAGTGTGTGTGTGTGTACGTGCGAGTGAGAGTGAGTGTGTGTGTACGTGCGAGTGAGTGTGTGTGTACGTGCGAGTGAGAGTGTGTGTACGTACGAGTGAGTGTGTGTACGTGCGAGTGAGTGTGCGAGTGTGTGTGTACGTGCGAGTGAGTGTGCGAGTGAGTGTGCGAGTGAGTGTGTGTACGTGCGAGTGAGTGTGTGTGTACGTGCGAGTGAGTGTGTGTGTACGTGCGAGTGAGTGTGCGAGTGAGTGTGCGAGTGAGTGTGTGTACGTGCGAGTGTGTGTGTGTGTACGTGCGAGTGAGAGTGAGTGTGTGTACGTGCGAGTGAGTGTGTGTGTACGTGCGAGTGAGAGTGTGTGTACGTGCGAGTGAGTGTGTGTGTACGTGCGAGTGTTGCTCACCTGTAAGTCCACTGGGTATGAGAGCTGCGTGTTGACGAGTGAGTGCCGAGTTCGCGTGGCGCTGCAGGGCGGGGCGAGTTCGCACCGACACTCAGGTGAGGGGCCGAAGACGCCGTGCGCGTCACCTCCTGGAGGTGTGGGAGGGGAGGGAGGGGGAGGGGAGAGGGGGGCGACTGATTTTGCATGTGGAGAGATTCGCCACGGGGCTGTGGATCGATCGGTCTGGTCACGTTCACCACGACAATGCTGCTGCTGATTATTATTATTCTGTGTTGTGTGGCGTGTAGAGCTTTGTGTCGAACTAGGATCCTTATTCATGGACATCTGTCAGAAATGAGCTGGCAGTTCACCAGCAAAGGTTCAGGCGAAGCGTGACGCTGCCTGCTGAGACGCTGGGTGTCGAAACCGGCAGAAAGTTTGTTCTGCGTCGAACCAACGGCTCTGCGTCAATAGCCACTCGCGCAAGACCGCGTGGCTGATGGGATGTGCTAAACATGATTTTTTTTTTCCGAGTGGGGACAGACGAAGGAAGGGACGCGAGGTGCCGGCGGGTGTCTGCGCCACAGAGCCAGATACGTCTGCGTCGTGGCGAGCAGCAGCAGCAGCAGCCCCCCTCCACATTGGCAGCGAGCCCCTGAACATCGCCTGCCATTATTGCGCCGCAGGTTCAGACACCAAGTCACCTGTGAACTCGACCCAAGTCTCCCCCGCACCCACCCATTACGTCACCGCCCCCCGTCCCGCCCACCCACTCACCTCTTTGTCTGTCACGCACGGCAGAGAAATCCGCGGAAGCTCCAACCCCAATTCATTTCTTGGTGAAACACAAAGGAAAGTTCACTGTTGTTAGGGGGCCCTTGTGTTGTCGTCTCACGGGCACACCTAACCACACACCTGGGGACACGTCTAACCGCAGTTCGTGTTTGTGTCGGGCCCTTGTTGACAATCCACTGCTGGAAGAGGGCCTCCCCACGCCTACAACTCTCCCGCTAAGCTATCTAGCGCTTTTTCAGAAGCGACCTGGCCACAAACGATAGCTCAACGAAGTGGCTTATCACGTGGAAATTGTATAGCAGTCAAATACTTCAAAAGCACGTGTATAAATGTGGATAGAAAAACTGGAGGACTCGGAGAAAAGTACACGTGATCACGGGGAGCACTCGCGAACTCCAAATAAACAGACGCCAGGGTCGGGATCGAAGCCACGACCTCCTGCACACCAGACGAGGGCGTTGACTTGTCGCCTGTGCGAGTCGGTGGAGGGTTCAAAGTGCCCGGGTGACGCAGAGGAACCAGACCACGTCACCCGCCAGACATGACGTCCTCCCCCCGCTGCATGAGCGGATGCCGATGATGCTGCTGCTGCTGTTTGTCTTGACCTCACTGTGACTCAGAGGGTCCACGTGGAAGGTGCGGGAGAGGTCCCCCTCCACCCCCACACCACAGCGATCCCTGGGATCACTACCGCCTCTAACACCACCATCACCATTACCGCGCTGAGCATCACCGCCACAACACCCACTAACACCACAGCGCACGTGACCTCGTTCCCCCATTGAACCTCGACGCGGGTCTCTCCCAGGCAAAGGGCAGAGTCCAAAGGACGGCGCTCGACCCCGCCCCTCCCAGCAGCTCCATTGGCTTCGTCTCCTCCACGACGGCATCGGCCATCGCGAGTGCGGAGCGGGCGAGCGAGAGGCTCGCCGCAACCCGGGAGGGTCACGAGGGGGTCTCCTCGGCCCGTAATCGAAGTAATATTCAAAGAGCGCCTTCACTCGGGGCGCTTGACGGAGCTTGCACCACGGTGACAGCATATCATGTTGAACTTCTTTCGCACCGTACGTAGCCAACCGTGCTAATCGGAGGTGCGGGGGAAGGACGAGCTAAACAACAAGCTATTTCAAATAAAGTAGTTTTCAATCTAGATGATTTAAAAGTGAATAGCTCTAGTGGCTTCCTAATATCGGAAGAGCGTTCCAGACGGCCGCAGAAGCGAATCTCAAAGCGCGTAGTGATGCAGTTGCCGTCTTTGTTCGATGGGGAGCCAAAAGTCGCTGCGAGGATAATCGGAAGTTATTTTAGTTTCAAAGGCGTGCGACAAGGATTGAGGAATGAGTGACAGCGATAGAGGGAACTGGGGGGTCACGAAGGGGTAGAGGAGGGATGGGAAGGAGTGGAGGGGCGAGAAGATGACGAGCAGTCGAGAAGAGCTTTAAGAGACAGATCCTCGTCCGTGTACACGTATTGGCCACCAATACGTAGTCCACGTATTGGTGGCCATTACGCGGACTGCAAAATACGTCTCGGTCCAAATCAGAACATCATCAGCAAACAGCAATTTTCGGGATGGCTGATGGCAAATACAAATCCCCGACTTAAGAATTGATGCATTAAAAGTGTAATGTAGCACTCAGAGACGCTGTCTTGCTTAAGCTATATATACAATATTACTGATGAGCCAATATTGTCTTGACTCTTCAAGCTTTCGTGACTACAGGAATTGATATTCACGTAGATAGATTCAAATTAATAAAGTGTTTATTTAATTTTTATGAATTTGAACCCATCCACGTTGACTTTACCGAAAGACCCAAAGAATATGGGTTATAGGCGAGTTTATATTAAATATTACAGTTCACCCGACTCGATGACACGTTACCAGCTGGACGCAGGCTGACTCTACACAACTGGGTGACGACTTTGTCGCTGCTACACATGTATCGGAGCCGTCGATGTAGAACTTCTTCCCCAGCCTTCCAAGACGATGAGGGCGATCCCCAGCGACGACAGCGACGACGCTCCGGACCCCGAGTCCTCACAGCAGCCCCGAGCCCCGAGCTCCGCTCCGCCTTTTGTTTCCCCTCGGCTCTGCCAGGCCCCTTTTCCCGAACTCTCTCATCTGCCTCACTCTCACACCCCCCGGGGTTCCGTCTCTACCCCCCGCGTTGACTCCTCACCCAGTTACCCCACCTGGCCCTGCCTGGACTCATCTATTTACGGCCACGAGGCCCCGCACTGTCCTTACAGAAGCATACTAACACACCTAGAGAGGCCACGAGTAGTACTTGGTACAGACTGTCAATGGCATACTGTCACCACGGGCTCAATCCACCCCAGGTGATTGTTGGTCATGGATGGCGGCGATGCCTGCTGAGTTCCACAAGGGTGAATGGTCGCAGCGCTCACCACCACCACGCTCGCCACCACCACACTCGCCACCACCACGCTCGCCACCGCCACGCTCGCCACCACCACGCTCGCCACCGCCACCGCCACGCTCGCCACCGCCACGCTCGCCACCTTCGCCACCGCCACGCTCGCCACCTTCGCCACCGCCACGCTCGCCACCGCCACGCTCGCCACCACCACGCTCGCCACCGCCACCGCCACCTTCGCCACCGCCACGCTCGCCACCGCCACGCTCGCCACCACCACCGCTACACTCGCCACCACCATGCTCGCCACCGCTATCACTGCGCTTGCCACCACCACCGCTACGCTCGCCACCGCTGCGCTTGCCACCACCACCGCTACGCTCGCCACCACTACGCTCGTGCAATAATCACCCCGAGTCGACGTCAATGTTTCCCTCACTCCACTTTTGCAACGGTTAAAACAATAGATAAAACATTTTTATTTAAATTCATTACGCATATCACAGGTACCCTGGACTGGACGCTCACAGAGCCCCACCACCTCGGGTGAGCCAACAGCAACACAAGAACACGGGAACAGCATGGGGAGGCGCTCGAGATATCCACACTCGCCTTCCTCCCCCTTCACTGTGGACGGAGGCCTGCGCCCCAGTGCGCAGCTCCCCAATGTGGAGCTCCCCAGTGTGGAGCGCCCCAGTGTGGAGCTCCCCAGTGTGGAGCGCCCCAGTGTGGAGCGTCCCAGTGTGGAGGGCCCCAGTGTGGAGGGTCCCAGTGTGGAGCACCCCAGTGTGGAGGGCCCCAGTGTGGAGGGCCCCAGTGCGGAGAGTCCCAGTGCGGAGGGTCCCAGTGAGGAGGGTCCCAGTGTGGAGCTCCCCAGTGTGGAGGGCCCCAGTGTGGAGGGTCCCAGTGTGGAGGGTCCCAGTACGGAGGGTCCCAGTGTGGAGCGCCCCAGTATGAAGGAGCGCCCCAGTGTGGAGGAGCGCCAGCTCTCACGTGAACCACGCCGATAGTGAAATCAACACCGGCGGCACTGCCCCGAGTCCTCTCCACTCCCGTGGCCTCCCGAGCTGGTGAACATCGCCCGTCGTCACGCCGCAACGCCCGACGTGAACATCACAAAGATTTTGTTTTAAACAATCACAAACATAAACAACAATTAAACTATCGATATGAGACAGCACATCAACACTCCGGTGTTGCACACTGCACCGCTCTTCTCCGAGGCCACACAGAAGGGCAGTGACACAATTTCCTTGGAGTTCCAATTCTTGCAGCAGCGTCTCGGTATCTCCGACGTAGCCGCAGTGAGAGCCGTGTTTGATGGAGTGAAATGGGTCTCC